CGATTGGGCCTATTTCTAGCACATGGCACATGACTGTCAAAGTAGTAAGAACAAAAATGGGCAATTTCCTTTGCAAGATAGGCTTCGCATGAGGATCCTTCAATCCTATTCCTCTGTTTAACAAATTATTTACACTTGCCGATAGTCATGCACATTGTCATATAAGACGATCATGCAGGACTATCGGCAAGTGTAAACGATTTGTTAAACAGAGGATTATGATTGAAGGATCCATATGCGAAGCCTATCTTGGAAAGGAAATTGCCCATTTTTGTTCTTACTACTTTGATAGTCATGTGCCATGTGCTAGAAATAGGCCCAATCGGCACAATGTGGTGATTGATCCATTACATCCATCAATGTCCATATTCAATCAACCAGGCCGAGGTTCTAAAGATCGAACAAAAATGGGCCTAACTAGTATGTAGTACAAATCATGTGTTGCTAAATTGTCCGGAAGTTCAACCCTTTCTTAAGTAAGTGTTGACGTAAGATTAATTTACATGAGCTACTATTTAATTTGGTTGATGCAGCTAACAAATAATTTTCAATGCGTCGCTCAGTGACTTCGTGAGTCAATTTGGTCATGGTGTTGTATATTCTACATTTGAGGCATGTTTTAAAGAGTGTGTAAGTGCATCTTACATACTTTCTCACATATGAATATACATACTTGTGAATATACTTGCTCACTTGTGTTATATTTAACGCTACATGTAGGTCAATAATCCAAACAACGATGTTAATCAATTTTTGAAAGACATATCTTGGGGACCTACACCTACGGTTACGACTATGTCTATGTATTATGTGAATGGTTACAAATTTCACACCGAGGACTGCTCTAAGTATAAAACAAAGCAATAACAATGGGTTGTGTGTCAAAGGTGGTGAAGGCAACCAGGAGGGAGAAAATGATTATTATGGTGTGATCAAAGAGATTCTGGAATTGTCATATTCAGGCTGGCCAAATAAGAAGAGCATACTTTTCCGATGCAAGTGGTTTGACCCAACACCTAGAAGAGGTACAAATGTACACTCGTAGTACAACATAATTGAGGTTAATAAAAAGAGGGAGTATGATCCTTTTATAATTGCAGAAAGAGTTAGGCAAGTGTACTATGCTCCATATCCATTGCGGAGGGATACGGCTGATTGGTTGGTTGTAATCAAAACAAAGCCTGTTAGTAGGATGAAAGTTGAGAACGTGCTAGATGTTGCTTACCAAAACGATACCTCAAGTGTTAACCAAATGGTAGATGATCAGTTAGAAAATTACTTGGAGCATCCTCAATGCATATTAGAAGAAGTTGATAGGGAGGAAATAACAATCCAAATGAGGATGAAGAATCACCTAATGAAAATGAAATAAGTGAAAAGGAAGGATACGTCGACGAAGACGACTAGCATGTTAGTTTTTTCAAGCGCTCTCAACTTATATAGATTTATATTCTCAATTCTAACATTATCTTTAATTTATGCAAAAGGGCGGTAGGGGTCGAGGTCGGTCTAGGAAGGATAAAAGGCCTATTGTTCATGATGATGGTGCTACATCCTCGCTTCCACTCCAGACTTGCATCCCTCTGCTGCTGATGGCCGGCAGCAATCTTCTAGGCACAGAACTATTCCACCACATCCATCTACTCATCATACTACCCACCATTCGCCCGCCCAGCAGTATTATCACCATTCTCCGCCACAAGGCTGTGCCCTGCTTCCTCCACATGATCCTACAAGTAGTTACATGGGTGCATCGAGTCACCAGTCACAGATGTGGTACACCCGTCATCTGCTCCATTTGCTTCATCTCCAGTTGGATCGCATCCATCTAGATTTCAGCCGACTGGATCGCAGCAGGGGTCTAGGTCGATGCATGGGTGTGGATCACATCCATCTTCATCAGGGACCCCGTCTCCTTCCCCACGGAGTACGTCTCCTAGCATTTCAAGACTTCGTCTTCGGGATAGTAGCACTGAGCCAGATGCCCTCACTTCTGCGCACGCTTCAGATTCATCGAAGGATGATGATCCAGATGAAATGCGTTATGATCGTTATCATATGATGATCATCAAGCCTGAAGGTAATGGGTAAGATTTATTTATTACTTCTTTATTTTTGTTGAATTATAATAGCTACTCTTGTTTATATAATGTAATTGCTATGTTGCAGGTTCATTCCTAATCATCAGGTTATAAAGATAATCACTGATATTCTTGGCGGGTTGTATAATGTATCCTATTCGACTTGGAGTGACTTTCCAGAGGATCTCGTGCAACAAATGTTCAACTAATTTAAGGTTTTAATACAATTCTTATCTATTTAAGCATTATATTATTAATATTTTCATCTAACGTTACATACTTTATATGCAGACTAAGTATGCCTGGGAGGACCGGTATAACCGTGAAATTTGTGCAAATTGGGAGTACAAATGTCGTAAGAGACTCTTTAATTCCTTCTGCTCCGCTTGAAAGGTTAACAAGAAGCCTTCATGGGTTCTACCGGATTTATGGGAGGATCTGCAGAGGTATTAGGCCACCGAGAAATTCGAGAAGTAGAGTGAACTGGGAAAGAAGGACCGAGCATCTGAGAAGGGTGGCTCATTGCACTGTTTGGGTTCAAGGAGATGGGGATACGAGGAGACAACTGGTAATTCCTTAAAGTATTTCGGTCTATTTTTATCGAACTATATTTACATATGTTAATTTCGTTAACACGTTTTATTATATTTGTAGGAAAAAAATATGGGAGGAAGATGTCTCATGATGAGTTCTTCATGGAGACTTACATCTGGAAGAAGAAGGCACCGACAGATCCAACTAGATGGGTCGAGGACCGGGCGGAGACTACACATGTAAGTTTCATAACTATAAATGTTTATAATATTATATAGTTAGTAATATCGCTACAAGATTAATGTGGAGGAGTACACTCAGAGCTTGCCACCGAATGAGCAAGGCGACCACCCATTTCAGACGTAAAAGCACAGAGGATATGGTTGGATGTTGTCGGTGGTCCTTAAAAGGGGATAGCATACGACCTTCCAGATAAATCATTTCGGCGCTACAGGGCTGGATTGCAAGGTATAGGGACTTCGGCCCAAGGTAAGGCGATTGATAGGTCGGCTATATCGTCTATGGAACAGAAGATTCCAAATAAATCATTTCGGCGCTACAGGGCTGGATTGCAAGGTATAGGGACTTCGACCCAAGGTAAGGCGATTGATAGGTCGGCTATATCGTCTATGGAACAGAAGATCGCAAAGCTGACAGTAGAGCTTGAAGAGACAAAGGCTAGAGAAAAAAGAAAGATGAACAATTTGGTACCCTTCAAGTTCAACTAGAAAGGAGGGACGAACAATTTAATCTCCTTCAAGGTCAGTTGACCAATCTTCTTGCTAGTGGTGCTTTCCGCATTCCCAGGTCTCGAGAGCCTTCCGCATGTGCCGACGATAAAGGTTCTAGGAGTTAAGATGGAGAGGATGATAGATAAAACATTCATTGAATGTTGTGTATTGCTAAACAAAGTATTGAACTTGTCAATATTTTGTTGAAACTAATTTTGAATGATGATTGTATTGCTAAACATTTTAGTAGTTGTGGTTGTTATTAGTTATTGTTGTTAGATAATGGTTGTTAGTGTTAGTTAATTGTTGTTGTTAGTATATTCATTGTTGTTGATTAATTATGGTTGAATGGCAGCAATGTAATACTGCCATTATAGGATTGATATTGGTTGTAATTGGCAGGTAGTGTAGCTTAAAAATAGGCATTTTCTGCCTAGTTTTTACCCAGATTTCCGAACGAAATAGGTCGGAAATTAATTTTTTGCCCAGAAATTCATAATTTCCGACCGAATTCAGTCGTAGATTTCAAATAAATTCTCCAATTTTTTTGAATATATTCGGTCAGAAATTATGAATTTATATTTATTTTTTAAGTAAATTTACAACTAATTATTTAATTAAATATTTTTTTTATATTTCCCGATCAATTTCAGAAATTAAAAAAAAAATTAATAGTTACCGACTGATTTCGGTCGGAAATTAAAGTCTGACAGTCAGTCAACACTTTGAAATTTCCGACAGACTTGGGTCAGAAATTTCCGACCGATTTCGGTCAGTACACGTTTACGACCGTCATTTTTCCGACCAATTAAAATCGGTCGGAATTCGGTCGAAAATTATCAATTTCTGACTGATTTTGGTCGGAAATAGTGGACGGAATTGCACTGTTTTTAGTGGTGTATTATATGGCTTATGAATTAGTAAATATTAGGGTAACTGAGCCCTAATGGTTGATAGAAAGCCCCATGTCTGTGGATTGGCAGTCTGACTTTCTATTCTTCGTTTTCGCATGAATTCCAAGAGATTGTCGGTCTTTGGAAATAACATTCTTCCATGTAATTTTAGGTCAACCCCATTTTCATAGTATCACACTTGCGGATAGGTGCAGTCACGTAGGACATGATCAAACCATCTTGGACAACCTTTCTCTCTTTTTCTTCTCTTCATGTGCTATTTGTGTTAGAAATTCACCGTCTCTTCTAGAGACTTCTAGTGTGGCCCACATATAAGGTAAGTAATAAATTATTTACCTTGTCTCCCAGAGGAAATAATATATGAGATAATATTCTGTAGTTATGCATATGTGGTAATTTCTTTGATGGAAAGAACTACCATATAAGTCCCTTGGGTAATTATAATTTAATAAGAAGTCTCTAGGGCTAAAGTAGAAACTACCATATATTAGTAGTTCCTTGGGTAATTATAATTTAATAAGAAGTCCTTAGGGCTAAAATATTTGCCTAAGAGTCCCTAGCCTACCTATAAATACGCATGTGACTCTTTCAGTCCGGCATCCTACGATAGACACATGCCAGAAGGCTCCCTAAGGTTTCTGCTAAAAGTTTCAAAGGCAATTTCCTACAACGCTTGAACAACAATGACTGAAGGTATGTTTCTTGATTAATTTCCGTTGTGTCGGCTCTGTGTATGTGTTTAAATTCTACATCGTGGTATCAGAGCCTCCCTTTAGCTAATTTATTCGGGAAATTCTTGTCGCAATATATGGTGATAATCTAGTTGTTCTGGGTCTTCTGTGGGCTTTCCGATTAATTTGACTGAGTGGATCATATAAAAGCATGATATAAATAGTATATACTAGTGGTGATATGTTTCACTATTTCATGTTGTTTGCCCCAGACTCTTCGCATCTCTATGATATTGTCTCCTACCCATTTGCAATACTGGAATAAAGTTTGGTATTGTAGTTTTAATGTTCCATTGGTTTAGATTCATCAATTTTTTTTTATGAGTCATGCTTTGTTCCTAGAAAACGATAATCGTGGAAGTAATACTTTCTAGACACATGATGACATGAATCATGTTTTGTTCAGAATCATTATGATCATTATTTGCTAGTTGTATATTTAGACGTGAATGGAAACATTTATTCAGTTAAGTACTTAGAGCAATCATGTCACTTTTGGACGTGTTTGTTTCTTTGTAATATTTAGATATTTAGATTAATTATAAGAATTGAGACTTGGTTTTTGGAACAATGGCATTGTGCTTATATTTTATGTTCATGTTTTGAAACTAATCAACATCTTCGTTAAGTTGATTATTTTGAGATGTCATATTTGAGTTTTCTTTTGTGTGATGTACTTAGGAGTAGCCACGACATCTTGAGTACTTGATACAAAAGAAATTAAGTTGTTCAATCACATAAAGTTTAGTGATTAAAATTATAGTGACATCTATTTAGTCCAATTATCTCATTAAAATGGTAACCTGGGCCTACAAGGAGGTAACCGTTTTGGTGAAATTAATTGGAATGAGACAGTAAACCTTTAAGTTAGAAAATTATCTTATGCCCACTGGTACGGATTAATTTCTGTGTTTTGGTTTACTAGTCTAATAAAGTAAAGTAAATTCTATGCATGGGTTACAAGTTGCAACCTCTGCCCACAGGAGGGTTTAGAATTTACTTAGAATCGGTATTTTACGCGATTCACCTTTGATGGATTGTACTTCATAGCTTATGTATGTTTATCCTTGTTTTTCTGTCTTTACCGCTTTTCCTACCACTATTTTTAATGAGAATGCTCGAATTCTAATGCTTTCTGGTGACAATTATACTGAATGGAAGGAGAAAATCCTTCTCACTTTAGGGTGCTTGGATTTGGACCTGGCACTCCGTGTGGATGAACCACCTGTTCCAACGGAATCAAGTATGCCAACGGCTAATGTTGATTATGAGCGGTGGGAGCGATCCAATTGCTTAAGTTTAATGCTCATAAAAGCCCATATAAGCCAAAGCATTAGGGGTTCTATCCCTAAATAGCGATAAGGTCAAAGCTTACATGAAGGCAATTGATGAACAATTCGTAAGCTCTGACAAGGCATTGCCCAACATCCTTATGAAGAGGTTCTCAAGTATGACTTTTGACAGAAGTCGTACAGTGCGTGAGCACATTATGGAGATGAGAGATATTGATGCTAAACTCAAGTCCCTTGAAGTTGATATGTCTTAACCATTTCTTGTGCATTTCATTCTCAACTCCTTTCCTGCGGAATATGGTCCGTTTAAGATTTCTTACAACACACATAAGGATAAATGGTCAATCAATAAACTTTTGACGATGTGTGTTCAAGAAGAAGAGAGGTTGAAGCATGAGATACCTGAAAGTGTTAATATGGTGGCTCATGGTAAGAGAAATGCAAAGAAGGGCAAAAGTGTTCCTATGAAGAAGAAAAACACCTTTGACAAAGATGCTTGTCGTTTCTGTAAGAAGAAGGGACACTGGAAGAAGGATTGCCTGAAATACAAGAAATGACTTGAGAAGAAAGGTAATTTTACCTTTGTATGTTATGAATCAAATTTTGCTGAAGTTTCTGATAATACATGGTGGATTGATTTTGGTGCTACAATTTACATTGCCAAAATCACGCAGGGCTCTCTAACTCAGAGAAAGCCGATAGGAAGTGAACAATACGTCTATTCTGGCATGGTATAAAAGGTAAGCAGACCAACAAATCAACTAAAGGTGCCAAAAGGAGTTCTCAGTTGCTTGAATGGTGAGAGATATTTTATTCCATTTATTGATGACTATTCAAGATATATGTATCTCTATTTCTGTTTAACAAATCAGAAGCACTTGATGCTTTTAAAGTATACAAAACAGAAGTAGAGAAACAAACTGGTGCTCAAATCAAAATTGTAAGATCTAATAGGGGTGGAGAATAGTATGGTAGGTACACAGATAAGGGATAAGTTAAGGGTCCAATTGCTGTGTTCCTTGAAAGTGAAGGTATAATTGTCTAATATACCATGCCAGGAACACCACAACAAAATGGTGTGGCAGAAAGAAGGAGCCGGACATTAATGGACATGGTAAGAAGCATGATTAGCAGATCAAGTTTACCTTTATCCTTATTGAGTGAAGCCTTAAAAACTGCTGTGTATATTTTAAATAGGGTTCCATCCAAGGCTGTCTCCAAGACACCTTTCGAGTTATGGAAAGGATGGAAACGTAGTTTAAACCATTTACACGTTTGGGGATGTCCAACTGAAGTGAGGGTTTATAATCCACGACTAACGAAGTTGGATGAAAGAACAATAAGCGGTCATTTTATAGGCTATGCAGTTAACTCTAAGGGATTTAGGTTTTATTGTCCTTCTCATTCTCCTAATATTGTTGAGGCTAGAAATGCTAAATTTCTTGAGGAACATGAAGAAAGTGGGAGTGGTTTGACTCAAAGAGTGGAATTGGAAGAAATAAGGTAACCACCTGTGGTACCTTTATACACCGGGAACTTGAATGTTGCTCAGAAATATTCTCATGAATTATTTGAACAACAAGTTAAAGAGCCACCACCACTTGAGGAGCCACATGAAGATCAACCCTCTGTACCTGAACCCACTGAAGAAGTGTCTAAACCAGTGCGAGTGAGAAAATCCTCAAGAATTTGAAATTAAGCAATTTCTAGCAACTATGTGGTATATCTCCAAGAGTCTGATTATGATATTGGACTAAAAGATGATCCATGCTCGTGTTCACAAGCCATGAGTGGAGAAAACTCTACACTTTGGTATGATGCCATGAAAGAAGAGTTAGAATCTATGGCTAAAAATAAAGTCTTGGATCTCGTCGAATTACCAAAAGGGATCCTCTACCATAGGTTCCAAGTGGGTCTTTAAAACTAAAAGATTCTCATCGGGTAATATCGAACGATATAAAGCTAGACTTGTAGCTAAGAGTTTTACTCGAAGGGAAGACATTGATTACCATGAAACCTTCTCTCCAGCATCAAAGAAGGATTCATTGAGAATAATCATGGCATTAGTAGCTCATTTTGATTTAGAGTTGCATCAAATTGATGTGAAAACCGCTTTCCTGAATAGAAATCTTGAAGAGGAGGTATACATGCGTCAGCCTGAGGGATTTTGTGATAAAGGGCAAAGGTCACCTTGTTTTCAAGTTGAATGAATCCATTTATGGGCTAAAGCAGGCTTCCCGCCAATGGCATATTAAATTTTATAATGTTCTTTCTTTTTTTGGATTTACGGAGAACATCATTGATCAGTGTATATACCTTAAGATAAGT